TGGGAGCGCAGGTTCCAAGACAGGGGGCGACAAGATGTTCTCCCTTAAGAAGTGGAACGCGGTGGCTATGTGGAGTTGGGACGTAGAGTGCGATACGTGCGCCATCTGCAGGGTCCAAGTGATGGGTGAGCGCTGCACGCGAGACCGTGGCCGCGCGCCGGCCTCCGCGGGCGACTCGGGGGGCAGGCAGGGCGCGGGGGACGGAAAGGCCTCTGGTGACGGCAGAAAGACCCCCCTGCGGGCGGGTCGTGAGCGTTCCAACAGGCGACCAGCGGAGGAGTGAGTGTGGAGGCCCGTAATCTAGCTAGGGAGACTGGCGATTAACAAGCAGCCAGGAAATTAAAAGACGTATTGTGTTGAGAAAGTCTGCTGTCTCAGACCTCTCCAAAGTACTGAGGAGCAACAATGTCAGTCTGGAGGCTAAGGTGCGCCTGATACGGGCCATGGTCTTTGCAATCACTTGCTATGTATCAGAAAGGTGAACAGTGACTAGGGAGGATGGGCGTTTTCAGAATTTCGACCTTGCGAGGGCAGATCTCCAGGTCTTTCTTCCTAGGCACCTCCTCCGGATTTTGAATCCCAGCCTTAGTCTTGTCGAAGACCGGGAAAATTTAAAAATCAGGTCATCTTTAGTGGACATTCCTCCACCCCAATGGGTCAGATGAAACATTTCAGAACATCTTAATCCAGTCTTGTTTTCTGTTATTTTGGGTTTAAGAATTCACTCTATCTCTGATAATAAGTCCTTCTAAATGCAATTTAAAAGAAATAGGACATTTAAAATTGTCATAGTACTTTAAATGTTTCTTGAGGTAAGTGAGAAATTTGAGGTGTCCGTGATTTGAAAACTCTGATTTGTCCTAAAATGGAGAGAATTGGAAAAAAGAACTTAGAATTTATTTTCCTTGAAAACGTTAGACATGGCAATGAAGATAAACATGTGTAAACTAGAATGAGCTCTTAGAAAAGAGAAGCAAACCTTCCAGAATCAAGAGATTTCCTTATTTATGCTGTCTATCACATAGTTTCTTTTGGGGTTTATTCCTAAAGGCTTATTTCAAAGAGATGGGATACAAAGTGCTAATAGATTTTCATTTTGAAGAACTTTATTTTATTTATTTTATTTCAGACATAATACATTTCTTTTGCTTGTTAGATTTTAAAACGCTTTTTTTTAACCATTTCTGGCAATTTAATAATGTCTTCTTTAGTAGGACAAGTATTGGCTAAATATTTTATCACATAAGTTCACATAGTGTGAAAAGAATGTATCTCTTAACAGCCGTTTTCTTCTCCCAAAGAAACTTTTAAAAACAGTAAATGATGATGCAGAAATTTAAAATAATCAGCTTTACAACAAGCAAATGTTGCTAGTATACATTCAGTGATTGTGTCCACATTTCATATTTATGCCAAGAAAATAGAAAATGTTTTTCATGTTAGTGTGACAGCCGGCATTTTGGCAGTACCTGCTGACTGTCCCCTCCATTCAGGTGTCTCTAGGAAGCTGGGCCTTTCATCCCCACTCCCGCGGGCAGAGGTGCCATGCCACTTGCCTGTGACCTTCCAAACGGTGGATGTACAGGAAGGGGGAAACCTGCAAGTGCACCTGTTCCAAGTTGACACTTTCTTTAGGCCTGACTGAGGCTCTGCTGCTCAAATTGCTATGGGCTTGGGAAGAAGGGAGACACCAGACTGAGCATGTGGAAGAAATGCGTATGAATTTAATGACCTCTCAAAGGGGGCCACTCTGAGTCAGAATTGATTGAATTGGCAGTGGGTTTTTAAAGTTAACCCTCAAGTTTTCAAGCTCACCAAACCTCCCTCTTGCTGGGCCTGCCAGAGACTGTCCCAGAGTCCTTAGGAAGCTTGAGCTTCAGGGAATCAGTACACCCAAAGGCAAAGCTTGATCCTGTGCAAAGGAAGGTGAAGTGCTTAAGTTAGGGCCCTCCAGTCACAACTTTGTTTTCCCCAAACCTCATGCTCTGGAAAAAGAATCACCCGGAAGTGGACTCTTCACACTGGTGATCAGTAAATCTTGGCTATTACTACATCTAAAAACAAGATAAATGAGTAGTCTGAAAACATTTTAAAATCAAATCCTCCATTTGTAACTCCCTAGTTCAGATCTACCAGCTGTTCTGAGGGATTTACAGCCTCTGAAAACCCGCTGGAGGATCAGCTATGAATCAGTTTCATCTTGACAACACAACAATATCCTTTTAGTAGATAGAGGGACCCCAGAAGTCTTAAAGACTTCTTATCCCAGAATGTTTATCCTAAAAATGTTTCAGTTATTAAAACTTCTTAGAAATGTGCTGTTTTAAATATCAGATAGTAAAAGGAAAATTTTCTTTTGTTTACACTTTAGAAATTCCTCATGATTTGGACTTTTCCTTCATAATTGAATATAAGCCACAGCTAGAGACATAATGAGATATTCTGATTCTGAAGCAAAGTTCTACTTAATCCCCTTTCCTTAATACTGAGAGTTTATCTCAAATACCTAAATGATGTGGCTATTTTATATCTTGCTTCAAGATTTGCTTGTGAGTCCAAGGCGAGATGGGTTACACTCTTGGTTTCCACTCTGTCCTTCCTTCATCTTGAAAGGAACAGTGAGTGATGAGTAACTGCTTGTACAGCTCCATTGTAAAGCTCTGGTATAACTCTTTGTGACTCATTTTGAAATTTCACTTAACCTTTTGGAGTCTTATTTTGCCAAGTTGGAAAAGATGTAGTTGAGGTCACCAAGGTGTGTCTTTACAGTTCTAAAATTCTCAAATTCTTTTATAAGACAGCTTTATACAACTTTCATCAAAATTCTTGTGTACTTTTCTGCCTCCTTGTTTGGTGACACCAAGCCACTTTTACTTGTTTCCCCTAGTGCATAACTCCTTTCACACCATAGAGGATCAGTAATTGGGGAGTTGTCCAAAGCCTCAACACTGCAGAGTCCAGCTAGGGTAAGAACATTTGGAAGAAGCAAATACCTGAGCATAATCTAGTATAGTAAGAGAAACAAGTTTCAATTCCACCTTGTTTCTATTTTTATAAAATTCTTTTCCTCCTTTTTATTTTTAACACCTGAAAGTTCTAAAACTTTGTGTTGATTTCAGCTCTCTTAACATTATTTTCATTCTCGACTCAGTGACGATCCATTTTATTGGCACTTTAAACATACTCTGTTAATTCTTTTTCAGTGAATTTTATCCTAGTTTGAATTTTTACTTTTTAAAAAAACTTTGTTGTTGAGAATATACACAGCAAAAGATATTCATGCACCCATTTCAACATATACAGTTCATGACATTGGCTACCTTCTGCGCTAGGCAATCTCTCTCATCTTCCTTTTCTTAGTAGTTCCTCCTCTATTAGTATAAACTCACCATCTGACTTTCTATATTGTTTTTGTCACTTGAGTTTCCCATCTAACTTTCTAAATTTGAGTTCCATACAGTACTTAAAAGAGCATGATACTCAGGGCATACATTTTTACTGGTTTGGTTAAAGTGTTAGAGATTAATCTCAGGCTAGTAGTTTTAAGGGTTTATTCAACCCCTCTAGGCTCTAGATAGTCTGGGGTCTGAGTATTTGAAATATCATTTACCCCCTTTTGATCTCCTGTGAAAATTTTGAACACAATGCTTAATAATAATAACAACCAGATATTATCTAGTTTTTCTGGTCTCATGGTAAAGGAGGCAGTTTTCATGGAAGCATTTAGCCATATATTCCCAACTTAGATTTTGAAAATTTCTAGTTACCCTTCTAAGTTCCAAGTGCTGTGGGCTTATCTGAAAGGAGGACATTTTCTAATAAAGAAAATAAAGAGAACTTTTTATTAAGTACCTAGTATTTTACTTAATAAAATTCACACAGATTTATGTCATCTCTCATGATCTGTTTGCCTCATGCTGTTCTCCTCACTTTATGGTGAGGAAATCCAGGCTTGTCAAGTTTTATAACTGGTTCAGAGCCATGCAGCTGGTACATGGCTGATCTGGAATTTGATTTTGGCTCAGCTGGACTCTAAAAAACTGACTTTCCCTTGTGCACCTCACTGCTTTTTTCTCCAGCCTTGTTATGATGACTACCACTGGGAACCACTTAAAAGCAGACAGGATAGTTTCTTTAAAAGAACCTCCCAACTATCTTTGAAAAGAAAGTAAGAAGTTACTTTTTATGGATAGCTGAAAGGAAATATCCATACCTAAGTATGAATGACTCAAGATACATTCTGTTTTATTTTTGTATAGGTTGATACAGTCACCTGATTTAAAAGTATAAAAAGGAAATTGCTTTTTATGCTCTTCTCTGGATAAACTTTATTGTTTGTTTCTTTGTGTCTACATAAGCAAATACAGATGATTTCTTTTAAAAAGATACATTAAAAATAAACTACCTCTAAGATTGACCTAGGTGGGCATACCCAGCAAGCTTACAATAACTTCTTACTATTTAATAGAGGATTGGCAACCCTTGTGAAAATGCTCCTCCTCATAAGTAATTAGTAAAGTGCCTTGTACTTTATTCATCTTGAAATAGTTCTTTTCAGATGAGAAATTAATAGTCAGATTGTTTCATTTTCATCTCTGAGCCTTAAGGCTTTTATTTGACTTTGAAGTGTCTGGGTTTTAAAAATTGCCTTCTGACTATCAGAATGAGAATTGCTATTTGTTTACTTTTAGATGCCTGTCTCAGATGTCAAGCTGAAAACAAACAAGAGGATTGTGTTGGTATGTTGTCATTTCCTTCTCTTGCTTTTCCAATGGAAGGTTTTCGCTCAGTGGGGATGTTTGAATTTGCAATTAAGATTGACTTTTATCAATACACAAAAATAAACTGTAAAGCAGTGATCCGTTATTAATATAAAATGTGTTAGTTCTCAAAAAACCTTGTTGGAATGAGTCTGTACATCATTTTAGTGTCTATAATGAAGACAAATTTGTTATATATCCCAAAAGTGGTCATAGTAAACATTTTGATATTCAAAAGTAAATATTTCTTCTCTATTAGAAAAATTAGAAAATTTGTCAAAGCATCATTTGAATTTTATTTTCAACTAAGAGAAAGTATTCAGTCTCCAATTAAAGGTTAGCTTAATACTTTGTTTCTTATCATCTGTCACAGCTTCCTAATAATAATTTATGTTGTTTTCCTCAAGTTCCGTTTCTTCCTCCTTAAATACTTGAGATGGTTACACATGCTTCTTAACCCCCGCAGCTAATTTTCATAAAGAGGTGTTTTCCGCTTTCTCTTTCATCCTTGACCTTGTCATAATTCAGTTCATCAAGCAAGGGATAAAATCCAACTCTTGAGATTGAATTCCAGATTGTAAGTGATTTCCCTTGGTTTTCAATTTTATTTTATGCTATTTGTTTTAAAAATAATGATTTTAAAATTATGAGTGGTAGGCCTCTTTCCAGCCAGCCACTTTGATGAGCGTTTTGTTCTGTTTATCCCTGAAGAGTGGTGCAGTTTGTGATGACTTAATGTAGTTCACAGTTCACTGACAGAAATCATCAGTAGCCATCTCTGAAAGGGAAACATGTACAATTAATTCTGTCATTCTTTTTTTTTTTTTCAAACTTTTTATTTTGTTTTGCATGAGTTGAAACTCAATCACTGTAGTAAATAAAAGGAAGTAATTTCTAATAAAGTACAAAAGGACTTAATAGCCTCTGATTGAGAAGGCCTGGGATCCCAAGAAGACTCAAATCTCTTACGCTCCTCATTTCAATAAGAGACAGCAGGTGGGAGCTGAGGGCCACCACAAACAACATTCAGTTTCTTAAACAGTACTGGGAAATCCTCCAGAAAGTGATTTCTGTCCTAAGTGTCACTTCCACGTTTAAGTTTCTGTTTGTTGCTTTGAAAATAGAAGAAGCTACTTTGGTCAGCACACATCTTAGTAGTTAAATCAGTAGGAAGCTGCTATTATTCATTAAGTTCATAATGGAAAATAACATAGCTATAATTTTGAACTCGGTATTGAATTTGACTTGAATCTGTGATGTTAAACACTCCGGGGTTTTGTGGTTCTTTTCTCTTTCAGTGGTCTGGGGAGAATGCAATCATTCCTTCCACAACTGCTGCATGTCCCTGTGGGTGAAACAGAACAATCGCTGCCCGCTGTGCCAGCAGGACTG